TTAAGAGGATAGTGGTTTGTAGCGTTCAGAGATAACCTTATCATTTGATTTACGTGCAGATTAAAAGTGGGTTCGAGGAAGGAAAGGATCTTGTGGTGTCTGTTATGTCTGCTATGGGAGAAGAGCAGATCTGTGCACTCAAAGACATTGGTCCCAAGAATTGATAAAAACTGTGTGTCCTTTGCCATCATATTATCTACAGAGTTAGATCGAGAATTCGTATTATGGTTCTTGTTCGTAAGTGTTTTCTCAAGTATTTCATCTGGTTTTCGAGTTATCAAAGTCATAAGCTATGTTGCTCATCCTGAGATTTAACCCGATACGCCGCAGCAAAAACTCGGTTTTCTTATAACAGGGCCTATGCTGTTTGCTGTTTGTGTTGGTCTGGATTTTTTTTTTTTTTTTTTTTTTTTCTTGTTTCTTTTCTTCTCTTTTCTAATTTGTTGGTGGTTGCTCTTTTGTTTATGGATAAGATATACTCTATGTTAAAAGTGTGTAGATATTTTGTTTATGGATAATAAGATATATTATATTATATGTTAAAAGTGTAGATATTTTGTTTTTGATTGCATCAGATTTATACAAACTTTTTATCTGCAATAGATTTATGTCTTGTGATTCAATTTTATATCACTCAAATAAATGTGCCCAAATCTAGAATGTTGAGGATTTCATAAGATAATTAACATATACTCCCTCCTATCTTTTTTATTTGTCATTCTAGCAACTAGCACTCTAATTAAGAATTTTTGTTGTTGTCAATATTATCCCTATTTAATGAAAACTACTACTCCATTAAGTAACACAATTAATGATGATTAGTGTAAAAAGTAAATGAAGATTTGTGAAAAATCAAGAGAGAGATAGAATATGAAGAGATATTGGAAATTAGGTGGAGGGGTTAAAATTGGAAAAATATGAACAAAATAGCCAAAATGATATTTATTTATCCAATAGTCAATTAAGCTAGAATGACAAATAAAAAAGATAAGAGGGAGTAACAAATTAAAACCTTCACCAAAAAATAATTTAACTTCACTTCAGTTTGTTTTGATTGCCCATTAAAAAAATTTATAAATCGAAGATACAAATTTCAAATTATTTAAATGATGCTCTATATTTTTTCTAATACTTTTTATATACAATGTACTACAAGTGTAACGCCCCGACCGGTTGAGAACCACCTTGATCTTGCTCTCTTTGTTGGTAGAACGTTGAAACTTGTACAGAACTCTTACGTCGGAGGGATTTTCTGGTGGAGAGCCTCCAACGCTCAAGTCAGTCTTGAGAAGATAAAGATTTATGTGATGATGTATAAGGAGTATGAGATATTGCATGTAAAATGCTAAATCTCACCCCTTTATATAGGGGTGAGATACATGCCCTAAGAGCTGCCCGTGTTGGCTGAGCTGGTTGTCCGAGTTGCCCGATTGCACGCCCCACTACCTCGGTGTCAGGAAGATGTCAGAATCTGTCAGAAATCGTTATTGATATGGCCAATCCCCACGCGCCACGTTCCCTCTGCCCATGTGCTCGAGATTCTCTTGAAGGCTCGTGTGATCGACCAAGTCTGGGCAAATGCTTGAGCTGCCCCTAGAGAAGGATGGTCGATCCCCTGACCTGTCTAGCTTCGACCATTGAACCTTTCGACCAAGTCTCACTTAGGCTGGGATTCGTCGGATGTTACTAAGTTCGCGTAGCTTTAGCCTCTAACCTTTGTCAATCAGCGTTAGCAGTTCCAAATTTCTGATTCTTTTTTATATTGAGAACGATGATTCTTTTCTGAATGAACTACAAAGTCTGAGTGAAAGGGCATGAAAAACTTGTTATTCTTAACTCTTGGGCTCAGGAATTCTTATCTAATTTAAGTGATACAGTCAAAGCCTTTTTGATTCTTTTATTAACCGATTTATGTATCGGATTTAGCTACTGCAGCCCCCGCCTCTTCGGGCGGAACTCCAGGTTGAGGAGTTACTCGGAATGCTGCCAAGATATCAGTATCTTTGGTCTCGTATTCAGTGAAGGGGATTACGCTTTCCAAGCAGTGGTTTTCCCTAGAATGGGGTAGAAAGAAAGACTTTTTGCATAATTTGAATCCGAGATGCTTGATTCCTTTTTGACTCTATTCGACCAGGTTGGCCGGTCTAGATTCCTCTCTTACTAACCGGTCCGGCTTATGGTGTAATATTCCATATTATTATGCAATCCACGGATTTTTAAATTGCGCGGGGGGGGGGGGGGTTGTGAATGCATATAATTTGATGTCAAATAATTATGAAAGCCTCTTGAGAGAAACTAAGAGCATCTTCAACGGTATATTAATTGGAGAAATGTAGATGTTTTGGAACAAAAACCTTCCTCCAACGGTAGCTTTTTAATTTCTTCTTGTCATGATGTGGCATGAGAGAGAATCAAAAATTGTAGAAGCATGTCTACATCTGAAAGTCCTTCCAGAATAGATGACTCATTTTTTCGTCATTTTTACTTCTTTTGTTTTCCA